TTTTCTTATATTAACATCCATGGGCTATCAATTTGTGGATTTGTAGGTTATCAATATACTTACAATGGTAATTTTAGAGGTAAATTTTTATTGCTAAAATAATATTTACAAAATAGATGTTTTAGCAAAAGTAAATATTATTTTAGCAATAAAAATTTACCTCCAAAATCACCATATTTACAGAGTAAATATTATTCTCTTTGGTCACAGTGAATACACATTCAATGAACACAATTTGTTCCAAGCATCATATTTGAATCATATTATGTCTCTGGTTTCTCCCTTAAAAATTAATGTTAATTTTTTTAATTGGTATCAGCTACTACACAGATACCAATTAAAAATACTTGCTCCCTCTCCCCATGCTCTACCAATGAGTTACACCCCCAGCCATTTTTATTTTGAGTCAAAATCTCCTTAAGTTGATCAAGCTGGCCTGAACTTGTGATCATCCTGTCTCAGCCTCCCCAGTAGCTAAAATTATAGGTTTGAACCACTACACCCAACCCAAAATAAAATTACTTCTAAATTTAACTTCAAACATCAGCATTTTTTAAGAATTTTTTTTCACAATACCTTTATTCTATTTATTTGTTTTTATGTGGTGCTGAGAATTGAACCCAGGGCCTCACTTGTGCTAGGCAAGTGCTCTACCACTGAGCCCCAGGCCAAACATCAGCATTTTTAAGCATTAGCAATAAGTATGGTGGCACAAGCCTGTCGTCTCAGCTACTCCAGAGGCTGAAGAAAGAGAATCACTTGCGTCCATGAGTTCAAGATCAGCCTGAGCTGTTAACATAGCTAAACTTCATTTTAAAATTAAATAAATAAAATAAAATTTAGCAAAAAGTCAAATGAAACAAGAATTGTAACCATCAAATCTAATTTTAAAAATGCTACTTCAGGGCTGGGGATGTGGCTCAAGTGGTAGTGCGCTCGCCTGGCATGCGTGCGGCCCAGGTTCGATCCTCAGCACCACATACCAACAAAGATGTTGTGTCTGCCGAGAACTAAAAAATAAATATTAACAATTCTCTCTCTCTCTCTTTCCTCTCTCACTCTCTCTTTAAAAAAAAATAAATAAATAAAAGTTTTAAAAAAAATGCTACTTCAGCTTTTAAGAGAAAAGTGATGAAAAAAAGCACACTAAATAAGAACTGTGGAGTAAAAATGAATAGCTTTGAATCACACTTTTATTATTGTTAATAATATTTGGAAATACAGCATCAAATATCCTATACAGCAGCCTGAATTTATCATGCTTTTATAACACAACTATGTGGTGTGTGTGAGACTTTGTCTTCTATCTATCTCCATTCCTCAAGCACTCACCAGGATTTCTTGGGTTACAGGAAAGTGATGGGGACAGGAAGAGGTTTGTGGGTTTTGTTTGTGGTTTTACATCTTTCTGGGTTTTGTGTGGAGGGAGGGGGCCTGTGGTTTGGGAGGTTTTCTGAGTTTTGTGTTTTTTTGTTTGTTTGGGTTATTTTTAGCTTTGTTTTTACCTTTGTGTGTGGGGGGGGGGGATATCCTTAACTGGAGTTAATTACCAGAAGAGAAACAACAAACATCAGATCCCTGCCACACGCAAAGCATGCTTCTAAACAACTACCTACATTCTTTTATTTAACAAGACTTTGGGATGGATATCACTGTCTCATTGTATGTATGAGAACACTGAAATGCACAACAGTTCAGCCTTGTGAACACTCATACAACTAGTTAGGAACACAGCCAAACAAAGACATATGAATCTAGATCTGTATTCAAACCATTCTTCCTTGTTAATTTTAAGGGGAAGATTTTAAAAAGAAAACTGAAATAAACAACAACTAAATGATGAAGTTAAAAGGTATATCCAGGGCTAGGGCTGGGGCTCAGTGGTAGAGCACTTGCCTAACATGTGTGAGGCACTGGGTTTGATCCTCAGCACCACACAAAAATTAATAAATAAAAGAGATGTTGTGTCCATCTACCAAAAAAAAAAAAAAAACACACACACACAGTGAATCCAAAATCAACTGTATTTTTAGCAATGTGCAATATAAAATTTTAAAAACAGTTTCATGGCGGGTTGCAGATTTAATTTGGTTGTAGAGTGCTTGCCTAGTATGTATAAGGTCCTGGATTCCACTCCCAGCACCTCTCTACTCCCTCAAAAAGTTCATGTACAATCCACATCAAACAGAAAACAAAATTTTTGAAAATACTGTTAAGTGCAATATTTGCACACTGAAATAACACATCACTATAAAAAATCCAAGCTGTCTTTTTTGCAAAAATTGATAAAATGAACCTAAAACTCATATAAAAATATAAAGGACATAAAATGGCTTAACAGTCTTGGAAAAAAAAAACAATGTTGGAGGAGTTACAATTAATTTCAAAATCCATCACAAAGCTACAGTAATGAAATCATGAGGTGCTGGCATAAGGACAGATATATAGATCAACAGAAGAAAATTCAGAATTCAGGGAAAAAAACTTCACATATGGTCAACTGATTTTCAATAAGAGGTATAAATGAGGAAGAGAACAGTCTTTTCAATATATGGTGCTGGGAAAACTGAATATCCATAGGTGAAAAAAAATGAATTTTGACCACTAACTCATACCATATACAAAAATTAACTCAAAACGGATCAACAACCTAAATATTAGATAAAGGCATAAACTCTTAGAAGAAAACATAGGAATATATATTTCATGACTTTGTATTTGACAATGAATTCAGATATGACAGCAAAAGCATGAGCAATAAAAGAAAAAACTAGACTTGGTTGAAATTAAATACATTTTTACATCAAAGAACATTATTTTAAAAATTGAGTCGGGGCCAGGGCTATGGCTCAGTGGTGGAGCACTAGCCTAGCATGTGTGAGGCACTGGGTTCAATCCTTGGCACCACATAAAAATAAAATGAAGATATTGTGTTCACCTAAAACTAAAAAATAAATATTTTAAAAAATTGAGTCATGTGTGGTGGTGCACACCTGTAATTCCACTGACTGAGGAGGCTGAGGCAAGTTCAAAGCCAGCCTCAGCAACTAATTGAGACCCTGTCTCAAAATAAAGAATTAAAAAGGTCTGGAGATGTGGCTCAGTGGTAAAGCACCCTTAGGTTCAATTCACAGTATAAAAAACAATTAATACCACAATAAAATACCATTTCATACCTATAAGAATGGCTAAAGTTAAAAATACAGTCAGTAACAGGTATTGGTCAGCAGTAGAGAAACAGCAACCCTGGTGCATTACTAGCGATGGGATGTAATATGCAGTAGAGCCTCAGAAAATAGTTTGACAGTTGCTCAAAATGCTTAACAGAGTTATGTGACCTAGCAATTCTACTCCTAGAGATACACCAAGAGAAATTACAAAATATGTCCACACTAAAACTTGTACACGTTTATTGCTGCATTATTTAAAGAGCCCAAAACAGGGGGAAAATATATATCCACAGATGAATGTACAAACAATATCTGGTATATCCATTCAAAAGAATATTATTCAGTAATAAAAAGGAATAAAGTTCTATACATGCTACATCATGGTTGAACCTCAAACACTCTGTGCCATAAAAAGAGTCAATCTCAGAAGACTACAATAGCCCAGAACATAAAATTTCCAGAATAGCTAATTTCAGAGATAGAAACATTAGTAAATGGCACAGTCTGGTGGAATGAGAAATAAGGAAAGGACTGCTAATGGGTAAAGAATTTTTTGTAGGGTGACAAAATGTTTTAAAAGTAGATAATGGTGATGGTTACACAACTATGAAAATATTAGAACTACAAAATTACACACTACCAGGGTTAATTTTATGGGAGGTAAATTATATCTCAATAAAAGCTTTTTAAAAGATTTTTTAAAGACACTTTAAAAAGACATCCAAATAAGCTACAAAAACAATATACTGGGAGACTGCAGCACCTAATTTTTCCATTTTCTTCTTCAGATGCAATCTCAAATCTGAAAGTCAAGTCTTCCTACATTTGCATACTTTGTTCAGTGAACAACAACAAAAACCCTACCTAAGTGAAACCAACTATCTGAAATTCAACTTGATGAAAAAAAATGCCTCTGAAATATACAACATCTTTATTTTAGCATCGACTCTGAACTAAAAAATCTGAATTTTGATGCATCACATAAAAACTAGACATACTCAGAGTTTAAGCAAATTGCCAACTTTCCAAAAAAGATAAACAGTAATTCAGATTTGCTCTGATGCAAATATAAATGTTTACCTGCCTCAAAGGAACAAAATCTTGTAAGCCTAGTGTTCCCACGTGAAAGAAATATATATTTTTTTAATTCAGAATTTTGTTTTAGAATCAATTTTAACCTAGCTAGGGTATACAGAGTTGATCCTTTATACTAAACAACAAATACCCTTCTCTTAACTAGAACATACTGAAAACACAGCATTATAACCAGACAAAAGTTGGGAGCTGAGAAAAATCACAGTACACAATAAAAATAACTACTCTCAAGAAGCTCCTGAAAATGCCTCAAGAGTTCCAATGTTGCAAACTCCTTAGTCATTTAGTCTTCCTATAACTATTTACCGAACATATACCATTTGCCAGGCAGGGTGCAAGGTACCAGGATGCCACAGTGAGGTATAAACAGAGCAGGTCCCTGGTTGCAGGAAGCTTGTTCTCTACAGCTTGATAAACCTTTCTGATTTCAACTTCAAGAACCTGCTAAAAATTCAGTCTTGTCCCCTACATTGAGGAGCCAGGGCTCGTGGGCCTGCGGTGGAGCATGCAAGCTGTATTTTTACAAAGTGCTTCCAATTATTCCTCCACTGGACCATCCCACCCATCCTGCAGGAGCCCCACATTCAAAGTCCGCTCAGCAGCCTTCACCTTGACAGGCACCACAAACACACCCCGAGGCCAACGTGGACGGAAGGCTTTCTGGTATCACTCTGGTGAGCCACCAGCAGCTTGTTGCCCTCCTGGATCGGAGAGCTCACTCCCGCCCAACCTCACCTGAGGCTGGCAGCACCTGAGCCTCCCCAGCGGCAGACACCTGTCTCCAGGAGGATGCAGTCTGCCACTTAGGTGGACCAAGGTCCCAAGGTTCCGCCCCCCGGGGAGGGGTCAAGGAGGCGGCGCGCGGGAGTTAAGCGCCGACTGCATACCACCGGTCCCGCTCCCGCACACACTCACACACTCCCGAGGAAACTGAGGCAGGCGGCGGACCGGGTCCGGCTGCACAGCGGCTCGCGAAGGGGCTGGAACCCCGACGACGAGGTGGCTTCCGCCTCGCGGGCACTCGTCAGCCGCGGAGGCCCGGCCCGGGCTTGCACCGACGGAGTTTCACAAAGAAAGTCTCCCGGCCCGCGCCCCTCACGCACTCACCGGCGCTGGCGCCGGCGGAGACTCGGGCTCCCGCCGCCTGCGGCTCCGGGCCGGGGTCGACGCTGGGGTCGGTTCGGACGCTGGCGGCAGCGGCTGCTCCATCCCCGCGGGACCCGGGCCGCGTCCGCCTCGAGCTAACGGTCCCGCCAGCTAGGCGCGCGCACCGCTCCCGCGCGCCATGTTCCCGCCGTGCCGCGCGCCGCCGAGGCAACCCACAACGCCCCCCCGGACCGCGCACGCGCGCCCCCGCGGCTTCCTCGCACACACCGCGCACGCGCGCGCTCGCCGCGCCCCCTCCCGCGCGCCCCGCCTGGAGCCTGGAGAAGCCGGTCGCTGTTCCCGGCGTCGCGTTCACCCCCGCCGTGCCTGTCCGGCCCAGGAGGGAGAGCGCGCCGTTCCCCGCTCTGCGCCGCCGCCTGCCGCACTGCGGACCACCCCGGCCAAGCCCACTTCTCCACTGCCTCCAGTGTGTCACCCGCATCGCGGGGCCTGGGGCGAGGGTCCGCCCAGGAAGTGCCAGACGAAGGACGCCCTTCGGTTGCTGAGACCCCACTCCTGGAGGTGGGCAGGCCCGTGCGCGAATGGAGGTGGCACCATGAACTCCAGTATCCTGGGGAGAGCCAGACTCTGGAAACCTGAGTTCAAGTCCCGCCTCTTCACTGACCTCGGACATCAGGGTCAAAATCCAGCACCGCCCCAAGTGCTTGAGAGGTGGGCTCTCCTTAAAGGGTTCAAGTGCCACCTCCATCTCCCAAACTGGGAGACTGGGCATGTCACTCGACCAACCCAGAGAACCTCGATTTCCACGTGTGCAGCTGATTTCCCCGGTTGACAAGGGCTTTCGGGAGGCATCCACACCCCTCAGCACGCTGCCTGGCACACAAGCAGCCTTCCAAGGCTACGTATTGTAGCTCCTGCCTTATCCGTCCAAGACTCCGAAAAGTTTAATGAAAGGGGTTCTGTCCCAAACTCTGCGGTATAATTAGCTGGGAGTTCACCCAACCATGGGGCTGCAAGAGACTCTTACTTCCCACGTCTTCACTTTCCACTCTGCCTCAAAACCCTAAAGCTGGCACCAAAACAATAGCAGAGAACATTTTCCCTACTAGAAAAAGAAGTTTTCAAGAGTCTCTTGGAATTTGTAAATGGTTGTGCTTATTTCTCTTGGCATTTTTCAGACACAAGTGACACAAACAACCTGGAGGGGGGAAAAAAGAGAAATTTACCTGCTCCCATAATTGCAAAATTCTGGCTAGAGCCTCACTTCTGGCATAGCGGAATCCAGTACCTCAAACCAAACTCAGCCTCTCTGACCTGTTTCAGGTTTCATTTGCTCTCTAATAACTTCATTTCCATACAGTTTCTTCCACTTAAGTAGCTTCATCTACCAAGAAAGCAGAGGCTGTTTCCCAGTACAGGTCGAGTATCCGTAATTCTAAATGCTCAGAAGTGTCTTAGATCTTGGATTTTGGAATATTTGTGTACGTATAATAAGATATATTGGGGATAGGACCCAAATCTAAATATGAAATTTGCTTATGCCTCATACATACATTAAACATAAAGCCTGAAGTTGACATTATACAATATTTTTAGTAATATTGTACATGAAACCAAGTTTCATGTATGGAATTTTTCACAATCCATCATATCACTGCTCAAAAAGTTTTGGATTCTGAAGCATTTTGAATTTTCAGACTAGGGATGCTTAAACCTGAGTCTAAGCATCCAGCCAGAGTCCCAAGGTTGATTCATCATTGGACCCATTTGGGCTACATGCCCTTCCTGAGCCAATCCATATTGGCTAGAGCTGGATGTATGGGAAGGGATTGAAGTCAGACCCTCCAGAAGGATATAAACAGGAAGGGTAATTGGGAAAAAAGGATGCTTCCACCTGAAAAATTGGAATGCAATTACCAGAAGAGGCATTGGTCACAGGGCCAGCACAAACAAGAGATATCCAGGACACCATCAAATAGGCATACAGTAGGTCCACCATAGAGCCACCCTGCCTGTTCTACAAAAGGGAGTGGCAGTTACTTCCTTCCGCCAATGAGAAATGACTCTCACCGCCAACCCCAGGCCCAGCATTTGCCAAGTCTGCTTAGTCAAAGGCAACCCAATGACCCCACAAGTGCCCAAGCAAGAACTGAAAGATGATGATGTTTTCAAGAACTGACTACTTACATGGGTATCCTACCTCATGATGGAAGACAACCCTTACCACATACCAGGCACTTTATGGACCTTATTCCACTGAATCCTCACAAACAGCATCAGAGATGGTTATTTTCACTGAACCCATTTTATAGATAGGAAGCCAAAGCTTATCAAGAAACTTAACCAAAATTCCAGCAAGTAACTTACCCAAAAGCCAATGTTGGGTAAGCACAATAATGTGCCCATCATGAATGTTGTCATCCCAGCTCCTATTGCTCATATTTCAAGCTAGATGACCAGTATGAATTCCATAGCAGAAGGAACTTCTAGGACCTCTTCAGCTTCCACAGTTGGGAAGCAAACACTCATTTTCTGTCTCCCCACCTCACCTTGAAGCCCCCATGCCATGATTTCATGTAATAAAGGAAAAAATTCTCCTAAAAGGAAATTACAGTGAGGCTAGGAAGAGAAAATCAGTGTCAAGAGGCCCTCATCAGCAGTCAGTGTCTCCCCTTTAGTAAATGTATTAGTCTCCTATGGCTGCTGTAACAAGTTATCACAAACTGCGCAGCTCAAAACAAGACAAAATTACTTATAGTTCTATAGGTCGGAAGCTTGAAATCAGTTTCAGTTGGTTCAAGTCAAGTTGTAAAGGACCGGTTCCTTAAAAGAGCACTGAAGGGAGAATCCATTGGCTTCCTTTTTCAATTTCCATGGTTGTTTATAGTCTTTGGACCCCTCCTTCCATTTTCAAAGCTCATCAATCCAATCTACGTTCAGTTATCCCATCATCTCATCTGATTCTGGCTTCTCTTGGGTCCCTCTTAAAAGGATCTTTGTGATGACATTGGGCCCACAGGATAAGACAGGATAATCTCCCCACCTCAAGATCCTTAATCATGTCCATGAAGTCCTTTTTGCAATATAAAGTAACATTTACAGATTCTGGGGATTAGAATGAGGACACCTGTTGAGGGTCATTATTGAGCCTATCATGGCAGGTATCATCAGAGCGAGCCACAGTGTGCCATGGAAACAGGGAAGGGCTGGCTAACTGTGCCCAAGAGGGAAAATGCCCTAAGAAACCTCAGCCTCCACATTATTCAAATGAGCTAAACCCCAGCTAACTTGGCAATCCCAACCTCATTCCTTTCAATATTCAAACCACCTAAATCCCATCAAACCCCTGCACCAGGCTAGCCAAACCTTAAAATACTTGCATACCTTTCTAATAGAAATTGCCAACCCCACTCCCATCCCTAGTGCCAGGGGCAATAGTTGTATACCCTTGACACTGTCCTAGCTGGTAAGTAGCAGTCGAACCATGGTATGGCCAGTGAATTACAATATGATCTAGTGTCAACCAGGCAAAATTGAAAAAGCAGCAGAGGAGCTAGGGCTGGGGCTCAGTGGTCAAGCGCTTGCCTCACATGGGTGAAGCACTAGGTTCCATCCTCAGCACCATATAAAAACAAATATATAAAGATACTGTGTGTTCATCCACAATTAAAAATAAAAAGCAGGGCTGGGGATGTGGCTCAAGTGGCAACTCGCTGGCCTGGCATGCGCGGGGTGCTGGGTTCGATCCTCAGCACCACATAAAAAAATAATAATGATGTTGTGTCCACCGAAAACTGAAAAATAGATATTAAAAAAATTCTCTCTTCTCTTTCTCTAAAAAAAAAAGAAAAAGAAAAAGCAGAATCGGAAAGGAAGCAGGCATTAGAAATGCCTGCATTCCTGATGGCTCCAGATCCAGGCATCTGTGACCTCGATACACATCCCCTCCATGAAATGATGTGAGTGGTCTGTTTTCTGCCAAAGATGTTCCAAATTCTACAGATCATAGGGCTGTCCCTGAAGCCAGCCTGGAGGGACTGATCGCACTTGATGGTAAGCAAGGATATATGCTCCTTTGGGCAGTTCACTGAACATGCTGACATTTGAGTTTAGACATCAGTTGCTTGTGCATTTTGTCAGCAAGTCACCATCCATGAGTCTGAACATGAAACTAGGAAGACAGATATTAGTTCTGGATTCAGAAAAACCTAGGTTGGATCCCAGCTCTGCCGCTTATCAGCTGTGTGGTTTTGGAAAAGTTACCTTACTTCTCTAAGCCTGGATTCCTTACCTGTAACATGAGGGTGGCTGGGTGACTTAGCTTATAGGATCACTGTGAGGACAAGATCAGCCAAGAATAGGGCTTTTTGCACAAGGGCCTTCCTAATCATTACTGGGTCAATGTAACATGCCTACATGCCTAAACTCCACTTCCAAAATAAGTCATCCCTAATTCATTTGGGAGAAAAGTTTGACATGCATTAACATGGGACAACCTCCCTCTTTCTCTTCCCCTTTTGCTGTGAATATTTGCTGCAGAAATATCAATGAGTATGGTTATGGGACCCCCCTGGGGTATTACACATAATATACAATAGAAGTGAATCCGCTTCCTAACCTCGGAAAATTTGAATTTCACAACTTATCTAGTCCCAAGGTTTCAGACTGTGAAGACATGTATCTTTAACACAAAGGATGAGAATTTAAAACTGGCACATGATATATACATCAATGTACCTACTACCATCTCTTGAAATCTCTGAATGTGAGTCACTACAAATGCCACCCCCAACCTCCCTGTGCCCCTTTCCCTGTAACTTTCTAAGGGGCCTTTAGAATTTGTATTTAGCTGTCCCTGGCTGAAACCAGGTGACATCCAGAGAAACCTGCCTGGTAACAACCCAAGTAGGGCTCTAGATGAAAAAGCACACAATAACTTTTTTATTTTTTTCATTTTATTTCTTTATTTTGGTGTTGGGAATCAAACACAGGGCCTTACATTTGCAATGTAAGAATCCAGTCACTGAACCATATCCCACCCCTAACATTTTTTTAGTTGTAGATGGACACAATATCTTTATTTATTTTTATGTGGTGCTGAGGATGGAACCCAGGGCCTCACCCGTGCACAGCAGGCGCCCTACCACTGAACCCCAGCCCCAGCCCGCCCCCTAACTTTTTTTAAAAAAAAAAAAAATTTTTTTAAAAAATAAAAGGCATTCAACCAAAAAGTTGGTTGAAGCATAAGCACAAAGCCCACATTCCATCAGGTTTTTAATTGAATTAACAGGGATTGTGGAAAAGCAATTATTCCCATAATTAAAATACAAATGATTAAAAATAAAAAGATTTAGAGAAAAGGAAGATGACAGCAGAGTGAAAGAAGTACATTTCTTCAGGTTCAGTCCAGTGTTCACAGCATAGCCATACACACAGCCCGGCGCTTTGAGGACTCTGTGTCTTCGGCTTCCCCTTCCAGGGGCCGCTTTTGACTAGTGGAAGGCTGCAAATAAAGGAAAAGGGAGAATGTTTAGAAGAAAATCACCAGCTTCTATTAAAGTTCCCTATTAGCTATAGTAAACCAGGGTCAATTCATGTGAAGCATGGTACCAAGAATAACTGGTGATCACTGAATCCCCGCTGGACTCCAGTACACTTATCTAACATTTCTCTTCTTGCGGCTTCCAACCACTTAATGATGTAAGGACAGTTCAACTGCAATTTTGTTTTATAAGAAATCTTGCCAGGCGTGGTGGAGTGCACCTGTAATCCCAGAAGCTCAGGAGGCTGAGGTTGAGGAAGGAGGATCAGTTGCCTTGGCAACTCAGAGAGACTCTGTCTCTAAATAAAATACATTTTTTAAAAAAGACGATGTGGTCCAGTGGTTGAGCGCCCCTGGGTTCAATTCCCATTATTAAAAAAAAAAAAAAAAAGAAAGAAAGAAAGAAAGAAAGAAGGAAAGAAAGAAAGAGAAATTTTTAAGGGTATTGTATTTTTTAAGATGTTTATTTATTTATTTTTATGTGGTCTGATGATCGAACCCAATGCCTCACACATGCTAGGAAAGTGCTCTACCACTGAGCCACAACCCCAGGAACACCCACCACCCTTTTTGTTGATACTGGGGATTGAACCCAGAGACACTTAACCACCGAACACTTTTTGTATTTTATTTAGAGACAGAGCCTCACTAAGTTGCTGAGGCTGACTTTGAACTTCAATCCTCCTGCCTCAGACTCCCGAACCACTGGGATTTACAGATGTGGACCACTATACTCAGTTCAATTACAATTTTTTTTTCAACTACAATTTTTATATTTTACAATGGTTCATAAGCAAATGCAAACAGTAGAAAGTAAACTTTGAATCTAAATCTAGATATCTTTTTTTTTTAGTTGTAGGTGGATACAATACCTTTATTTTATTTATTTTTATGAGGCACTGAGGATTGAATTCAGTGCCTCACACATGCCAGGCAAGCACTCTGCCACAGGGCCACCAAACCCCAGGTGCAGACTCTGAACATCTTTTTGTAGGCTAGCAATATTCTCTCCTGATGTGAGGCAACTGTAGCTCCTGGTCAGCAAGATCACAAGCGGAATACTGTACACTGGTGTGCAACTGTTGCCAAGCTCAGTAGATTTGGAGTATTAAATGCATTTCAGTTTAAAATATTTTCAACTTAAGATAGGGATACTAGGGTGTAATCCCATCATTAGAATATAGGAGCTGGGCTTACAGCTTAGTGGTAAAGTGTGTGCTTAGCCTACGCTAAGGCCCTGCATTTACTTCCTAGCACCAAAAGAGAGAGCTACTTGGGAGGCTAAAGCAGAAAAGACAGACAGCTTGAGGCCTTCAGGATAACTTAGTATGACTCTGTCTCAAAATAAAATAAAAAGGGCTAGGGGGTATAGCTCAGTGGTAGAGTATTTGCTTAACATGTGTGGGGCCCTGGGTTCAATGGTCGATATCACAAAAAGTGAGAAAGACCTCTCACTTAGAGCCCCAACTTTAACTCTTTTATGGGAAAGGCAATCTTTTCTGCCTTGCTTGCTTCCCCATTTATAAAACTGGGAGGGAGAGTGGGAAAAAAGCAGAACTATTGCAGTGCTTGCAATAGTGCAACCAGTGGTGCACGTCTATAATCCCAGTGGCTCAGGAGGCTGAGGCAGAAGGATCACGAATTTAAAGCCAGCCTCAGCAAAAAAAAAAAAAAAAAACCCTAAGCAACTTAGCAAGAACCTGTCTCTAAATAAAATACAAAATAGGGCTAGGGGTGTGGCTCAGTGGACAAGTGCCCCTGAGTTCAACCCCCAGTACCTTAAAAAAAAAAAAAAAAAAAAGGCAGAACTATCATTAAGCAAAAGAAAGCTGGACAGAAATGAAGTGATATTTATTTATACTTACAAAGAATTTTAGAAGAATAAAATTATAACCAAGAAATCATCATTTGTCCAAATTTTAAGTTTTCCAACGAATTTAAAATTGAGCCTCTAACAGATTGTTTAGTCTTGCCCTGCAGGAGAACTTTCAAGTGACAGGCCCTACCTGTGCTTCACTAACATATTAAGCAATCTTATAAGGACGCTAGAGTAGATCAAGTTGAAACGTAACACCTACTACATAGATCTTAAAGAATGTGAAGCAACTGTCACTCTCAAGACTCTTCAGACCTGGGACTGGGGTTGTAGCTCACTGGTAGATCATTTGCCTTGCAGGTGTGAGGCACTGGGTGTGAATCTCAGCACCACATAAAAATAAATAAAGATACTATGTCCATCTACAACTAAAGAGAAAATATTTAAAAAATAAATAAAAGAGAAACTTTAGACTCATTAGGCTCACTCATCAGCTCTTTAAACCTAGACTACATTTATTAATCATTAGTAGGGATACCTGGGTTGGGATTTGGGATAGAGCGATTGATTTATTTTCCTCGGCCAATAGCTCCTGAAACTTTCTCTTCATGTCCTCATCCTGTGAAGAAATGAAAAACATACGTAGGCTGTGTCTGGGGAAAAGAAAACTCCTTTAGAAGGACAGGGCAAGGCACCCCTGCAAGGATGGCAATTGTCTGCTAAGAATCAGCCCCTTGCTCAAGTTCCCGAAGTGAAGGGCCCATGGGTGCTCACCTCTGCCTTCTGAGTAGTCTCATGAGCAGTCACAGCTCAGTCAACACTGACTGAATCAAACCCATGGTCCTAAGAGCTCAGTGGGTAAGAGAACCACAGACTCCAGATAACCAGCAGATCCTGAGAGCCAAAGGCTGGGGCTGACTCCATGCAGCTCCCTGAATCCTTCCACATTGCCCCTTTGCCCTGCCATCAGCAAGGCCATTTACCCAGATACCAACCGAACAACGGACTCAGCACCTAAGAAAATTACCCAGCAGGTGCTGTACAAAGTGCCACATGGTCTTGAAGCCCACAGTATCCCAAGCTCAGCTCTAATGAGAAAGGACAACAATGAACATGGCATAGCATTACAGGTGCTTCATGCTACAGGAGGAAAAGGTGGGGCAGGGGAGGAGTGGGCAAAGAGAACAACTGCCCAGATGTGTGAGGTGTGAGGGCAGCTCTACCTCTCCAGATGCTAAGTTCTACAGGGTTCAAGGATTTGCATTCGAGAGTCTTGATGGGTGGCCTGGTCCGGTTCTCCCCATCTTCGAAAATGCAAAACATGTCTAAGAATGTGGACTAAGCTCAGCCACTCATCAGTGAAGTGTGCAGTATACAGATCTCAAGCAGTTCGATTCCAAAGCCCCACATACTTTACCAACCAACCCACCCTCTCCCTACTCTTCCCCATAAGCCACCGGAGGGAGAGGACGACGGGGTCTCCACCGCTCAGCAGCTGCATGATGCTAGAGGACTACCAACTGCTTCATCTCTTCTCTATCTAGCAGCTAGAACCACCACCTGCTTCCATCACTCTGCCTAGTCCCTCAGCCTATCTTGGTAGGGTCATGCTCACCTGGATTCCACTCTAGACTCTCCCATGGCTAGAGGATGTCACCTCTCACGTACTGTCACTTGCCAAAGCCCATCCATTCTTTCCTCCCATATTTGTTCACACCACAGCTCCCCGAGGAATGCCCTCCTTACCTCCCTGCAACCCACTTGGCCCACCTTCCTTGTTCCAATCAGTGAACAAATTCTTCCTGAGCATCCCCTAGATACCAGTCACTCTCACACGCACAGGGGCCTTCCTGGCAGAGGGACCCAGTAAACATTTGAAAATGCTGACACTCACCCCCGACACTGTTGCCAGATCATGCAGGCTTCAGACCTGTTCACACCATGTGAAACCTGTTCACACCAGAGCCCTGTGGGCAGCGGCCCTGCCTCCTCCTGGTTAGCACTATACTCTGCACCTACCCCCACCCCCACCCCGCCAACAGATACATCACACCACACTGTACAACTGCAGTCAGCAACTGTGATGCAGACGTCAGCTCCCTAGGCAAGGACTTATCTTATTCCTCTTTATATCCATGCTGCCTAAGAGTATTTGACACAAGAGCTCATTGACTATTCTGAAGGAATAAATGCATGACCCAATGAAATTACAATGGAGTAATGGTAGGATTGTGTGTCTCAGCACTACCGTGAGAGGGCAGAGCCTCAGAGAGGTGGTGCCTAGTGGGAGGAAGTTAGGTCATTGGGGGCATTCTCCAAAGAAGACTGTGGAAATCCAGTTTCTTCCTCTTCCTCTCTCATATTTTTTCACACTAGCCATGAGACAAACAGGTTACCACCACACACTCCTGCTATGATATGCTGCCTCACCACACGCTCAAAGCAATGGGGCCCCTTTGGTCATGGACTAAAATCAACAAAACTGTGAGCCAAAATGGACTTTTCCTCTTTTTAAGTCAATTTATCAGGTATGTCACAGTAAGAGGCAGCTAACACAAACGCCCTTCTCCTTTAAACCTTCAGTGACCCAAGTCTATTAAGTATATTTACAAGTCATCAATTAGCAATTACATAAAAAAGAACCTCATTGTTGAGGCAAACTGTTAAGTTTTTTTTATTATTTTATTTTGTTTAGTTTTGTTTTTTGCAATGCTGGGGATTGAAACTAATACTTCACTTATGCTAAGCAAGGGCTCTACATCCTCAGCCCCCTGGTGGCAGAGTTTTTCTGTAAATGTCCTTCCTTTGAGATGTCCACAACCTATTCAAAAGTATTAAATTATCCCTTGAAGTCAAGCAGGAAGGAATCCTCTCAGGCACTCAACATGAGGCAGGAAGAGGACGTGAGGGGGGCTGGGGCTGGGGCTCAGTGGCAGAGCGCTTGCCCAGCATGTGTGAGGCACTGGTTTGATCCTCAGCACCACATAAAAAATAAATTAATAAACAAAGATATTGTATCCCTCTACAACTAAAATTGTATTAAACAAGAAGGAGAAATGAGAGATGCTCCCCAAACCAGACACTGCTACTGACAACACAGAGACCACGATTCACATTCCCAGTGTTCAGCCCAGTGCCAAACCCATAAAATCATTTGGCTTCTGAAAAACACTGAACTTTCCCAAAATAAAAACCTAACCATCACTAACTGATGTTTTAGATAACCCATCTGCAGCCTTGTCCTCTCCACCTTTGGCTGCAAAAACAAAATGTGGATAAAAGAGTATTCAGAGGAGACCCCTGTGGCAGAGTTGAACTTCACCTTCTCAGTTGTAAGTTTTCTTTTGAGACAAAAAGTACAAGAAAAATAGGCTGTGCTGCCTCATAAATTTCAGGCAGATGCAAATCCTGTCCCTAGGACTTGCTGGCCAGCTCCATTTTTTTTCCAAGCCCAACACAGCTCCTCCAACCTCTCCACATGGGGACCCCAAGAGTTTCCTTACTAGGATACATGAAAAGAGCCAAGAGGCGTGTTTCTCTTTTTTATCAAAATCAAATCCCTACATCCAAAGGCACCCTTTGTTTCCAAACTCCTTTTCTCCAAGGTCCCGCTGTCTCAAATCTGTGTGGTCTATTAAATGCTAAATCATCTGACAGATTTCTTCTGGGGAGACTGCTGTTTCCATGGCAACATCCCAAACACATATATCTGGGCTTTTTTTCCCCTCCATTAAGGATTTGTTGTTCTCAACCTGAGCTGGCCTGGGCAAAACTGTTAGGTGTAGAGGGTTGGAAAACAGAATGGGGACCAGCCCTCCCCTGAGCCCCAGAAATATAGAGCTGAGGCCAGGCTGCCCAAGGAGTTTGTGGACCAGTAATCCCCAAGAGTAACAGTGTCTTGCTCAAACTACCTGATTAGTTAAGTGCCTAATCCCCACAGAAAACAGATCAAAAGAAAATTAATAGAAAGAGGCATGACTGTGCTGAATGACGTCACAGGAAATGGAAGGTCAGACATCCATCAAAAACCTGCCTGGCTGGGCACAATGGTGCAAACCTGTCATCCCAGCAGCTAGGGAGGCTGAGGCAGGAGGATCGCAAGTTCAAAGCCAAACCCAGCAAAAAGCAAGGTGCTAAACAACTCAGTGAGACCCTGTCTCTAAATAAAATACAAAACAGGGCTGGTGATGTGGCTCAGTGGTCAAGTGCACCCGAGTTCAATCCCTGGTACAAAAAGAAAAAAAAAACCTCCCCGATGCTGTAGCTAATTCTAATGCCAAACACGAATCTGACAAATCCACTAAAGACTTCCAACTCTGGCAACTCTGAATGAGGTCCATGCAAGATCTAATGGCAGCCAGAGTTCCCAGCAAGAACAGAGAAGAAATGCAGGCTTGAAAGACGCAGGTGTCAGCCTGCACTACAGCATGCCTACTCACCAGGAATAAGAAGTGAGACCCTTCACACCCAATCACATGGAACTGAGAAATGGCTGGATTCTTCCCAGGGAGGCTGCCATCCTCCAGCTCCTCCAAGTTCCCTTATTTAAGGTGGAAAAATGGCTGGAATGAAGCCCAGCCTAGCTCACCTGTTGGGTGAACCTACAGTTCAACCTAAAACAGACCCAACATTGCAAAGGTTATGTTTCCATCCTCTTCCTCACTTAGCTCAGGGCTCCCTGTGCATTTCATGCTAGTGGGTACTGCCCCACACCCACCTGAAGCCACGGGTGACTTAAGGCTTCTTCTGTCGTAAACCGTGCCTTTGGATCCACAACCAACAACTTCTTGACGAGATCCAGAGCTAAGGTAACAAGAGAATTGGCAAACTATAGTGAAAAGGATGACAATCAGCAATATTAAGGTATGCAGAATGACAGGCCACCATCCAGAAAGAGATCATTATGGAGTCAGCAGACAGTGGGCAGGACCCCCGGTCCTCCTCCCTGTGTGCAGAGGACTCTAAACACCAGGAATGATGGGACACCGAGCTTCTTAGCTCCCTGCTCCCTCTCTTGTTGCTGGACTCAAACTAACTAAAACTGACCTTCTACCCAGTTCTGAGACATTTAAAATGCTACAGCCAACTCTCCCTGACACCCCAGGACTGGTAATGAGAGTCCCTCAACCAAAGAGGGGCTCCGTGAAAATCTGGTTTGTCAGAAATAAAGCCTGACTACTCCAGCAAGCAATGAAGGCTGGCTTGTCTACTGCAATAATATTATTCCTTAAAGAGCACCCATGCTTAGCACAATCACCTATGTTACACTACTGGATATTTAGTTTTAAGTTTCCACTTTTTCTTCTGGAAATTAAAAGGTTACATTTTTTAATTATAAAATACAAAAAAAGTAAGGGGCTGGAGTGGTGGCTCAGGGGTAGAGCACTTGCCTAGCAAGTGTGAGGCACTGGGTTCGATTCTCAGCACCACATACAAATAAATGGATAAAATAAAGGTCCATCAACAATTAAAAAATTAAAAAAAAAAAAACAACAACAAAGTAAACTGACATTGAGCTTTTTATATGGGGATAACTCAAAGGAAAGTTTGTAACTAAAAAGTTACTTATTCTTTTGCACACTAAAATAGGTACCAGTCACTTGTGTACATTACACTTAGCACTCAGAAAAACCATTTAATTTAAGGTGAGGACTATCAGAGGAGGATCTTTACAAATAAAGAAAATAGAAACTCAGAGAAGTTCAATAACTTGCTGAAGGTCACACAGCTAGGAAACAGTAGACTAGGAACTTGAGCTCAATGTGCTGAATGAACAATTTGATCATTTGTTCTAATTTTCAAATTCTGTAAAAACTAATCAAAACTAGAACAGACTGATAGGAGAAAACACCACAGAGTTTGAAAAGACACTCCCACCAAGAGCATACCCACATCGTAGTAAACCACATATTCTTAACCCTTTTCGTATCCATACCCTTCTCTGAAACATCTGCCCAGACTTCGGGAATGAAGTTGTATTTTCCACTGGTGATCTGATCCTTCAGTGACACTTGAGTCTTATGCTCAGAGAAAGGTGGATACCCACTAAGGCTTTATATTGTAGAGAGAAAAAGGGAAAGAAATCAAATGGCATTCTTAGAGGCATTCAGATATACAGATTTCTTGGTTTCAGCATCATGAAAAAGCAGGTTTTTCTTTAAATCAGTGGTCGAAAAGTGACCTAAATGAAACATGACCTTGCTACCTGAATATGGTTATGCTTTCATCTAATTACCTCCAACCAGATTGTGTAGCAATGAAAACTTTTCTTACCAGATAAAAAGAATAACTCCTAAACTCCAGCAGTCCACAGCACGGTTATACCCGGCAGTTCCAATGGAAAGAAGAACCTCGGGAGCCAAGTAAGTGGGGGTACCACATAAAGTTCTCATGAGAGAGGTCTCCCCCAAAATCTTGGACTGCCCAAAATCAGTAATCTAAAATTAAGGACAAAAGGAATAATTTTTAACAATGTCCTAAAATAAAAAGAGTATCATAGTCTGCTGGTCCCACATCAGCTACATCAGCTTTTATTGTGTGCTTCATACCTGTGGTTCATCTGAAGTCTGCAAACTCATGGCCTGCAAGTTCCAGTACTAAATTTTGCTTAAAATCCCTAACTTAAGAACTTCAAGAATTAGGTTTTCCATTTTACCTATGTTCTTTATAACCTTATAGAAAGTTTGTGATCCCTATGACAAACACCCGAGGATTCTAGTTAGTTAGTTACACGATTCTTCTTAGACCCTAGGCTCTCAAATTTGATTAACTGTGGAATATCTGGGGAGGTTGAAAAAAATTCTTGCACCTGGGTGCCACCCTCAGATTCAGAGATACAGCCTGGGTCTTTTGAGATATAGTTTATTTTCTTATTTATTTTTAAATTCTAACAGGAGATTCTAAAAGGAAGCTTGAAAAAGAGGTCCAGGCAGGATATGTAATTCATTCACCTGTTTAGACCCCTCTGCACAAAGGTGGATTGTATACAATGGAGCTAATAAATGCTCATTAGACTCCAGAGAGACAGGATATCACCTGATCTCTACAACAAATGCTGAGTGCAAAAATCAGATTCTCAGTCTTTTTTTTTTTTTTGCTCCCATTTTTCACACGAGGAATTAAAAGACAGTTTCTACTGAAATGCTCACATACAGAACATAACTTTTACCTTTATAAGACAGTCCTCTTCTTGAGATGACAGTAGAACATTCTCTGGCTTTAAATCCCGATGTATAATGCCATTTTCGTGAAGGTACTACACAGAAAGGGAGGCATAGCCCTTAGATTTATGTTTTCTAGGAAGTCCTTTTTTTTTTTTTTAATGTGAAATCAATTTTGTTGGTCATTTAAAACCTGCCCACATTGACTTAAAAAGAAGATAGACTTCAGTGACTTATAAATGGAAATTCAAAAGTAGAGTGGGGTCAGCACTAGTCACAATTTAGTCAAGGACCTGGTTCCTTTTCTCTATTTTCTGCTACATTATCGTGTGTGTGTGTGTGTGTGTGTGTGTGTGTGTGTGTGTGTGTGTGTGCACTCTCACGCGCGCACATTTCTGTGTGTGTAGATTTGTCTTAAGAATGTTCTTACCTATGAAAAATGACTACCAGAAAAGAACACTTTCTATCTCATTTAGGAAGAGAAAGAATGGTATCCTATCTCTCTTTAGGGGACAATACAGAATTTTCCAGAAAACTCTAATTATTCTCTCCTCTGAAATGGGACCAAGCCTATCCTAGAAGAATTACTGAAAAAAGGAATGATACTTCCCTCAGGAAATCAGACTCTATCTTTAACTTGAGGTCAACTGCAAAAACTACACTGCTCTTTTTTATGGTGGAGGGAGAATATTAGGAAGTTAATTACAGCATTCAGTAAACTCTCAGAATTCTCTAAAAAAACAAAAACAGCAACTGAGACAATAAAGCTTGCATTTCACAATTCAAGAAAACACATATCCTTTCACATTGGCAGAAATATAAGGTATTTAATTCAATAAAACTCAAATGAGTGATACTAAAAATGTCTCATAGCAATTGCTCCATATACTCAATCCATTGTAATATTCTTTTAAAAAAAATTTTTTTTGGTAGTTGTAGATGGACAGCATGCCTTTATTTTATTTGCTTTTTTTTTTTTTTTTGTATGCGGTCCTGAGGATCACATTCCAGGCAAGAGCTCTGCCACTGAGCCACAGCCGCAGCCGCAGCCCCTCACTGTAATATTCTTGATCAGTAAATATAAGAAGGGGAAAAACCAATAAGGGAGATAAACACTAGGTAGGTGACAGCCACCATTAAAAAGACTTTGAACTTCAGCCTGCTCTGGGCACTTTCAGTGGGAAATTAACCTGATGAAACCTTCAAGGCCAAACCCAGATGGACCTACCCCAGAAAAATCTCCCTCAATCCTCACCCAATAAAAGAACAGCTCCCAGCCAGACGCAGTGGCACACACCTATAATCCCAGGGACTCAGGAGGCTGAGGCAGGAGGATCAAAAGTTCAAAGCCAGCCTCAGCAAAAGCGAGGCCCTAAGCAACTCAGAGACCCTGTCTCTAAATAAATCGTAAAAAGGGCTGGGGGGGCTGGGGTTGTGCGGCTCAGCAGTAGAGCACCCGCATACCATATGTGAGGCCCTGGGTTCGATCCTCAGCACCACATAAAAATAAATAAATAAAATAAAGGTAGTGTGTCCAACTGAAAAAAAGGGTTGAGGACGTGGCTCAGTGGTTAAGTGCCCCTGAGTTAAATTTCCAGTCTCCCTCCCCCAAAAGAAATCTGCTCCCTCCACTGCATTTACTGCATGGAATAGGTTTTCAAGAAAAGAAATCTTGGTGGGGAATCACCATAACCGATTCTGCTTGGAAAATGGTGGTATTCCTCAAGGCAAAGTGCCACCAACAGCTTCTCTATCAACACTTTCACTGAACAGAGAAGGCCAGGCACATGCCTCACCCCCTGTCCACTCCCATGACCAAGATGCTGCATCTGGAGGGAACTGAGTAAATGAGCCAGGAAGAGCACGCCATCCCCCTCGTCCCCGCTTGCCCACCGTCCCCTCAACTCTGCCCAGTCCCAGTTTACAGGAGGTTTTCTACAAAGATAAGGTAGTCGTAGTTCTATGGTTTAGATATGAAGTGTTAGGTGTGAGACAACACAAAAAAAGTTCAAAGGTGAGAAGATTGGGTTATGAGAGCCTTAATCTAATAATCAACCATTAATCCACTGGTAGGGGTTAACTGGGCGGTTCCAGCAGGCAGACAGGGTGTGGCTAGAGCAGGTAAGTCGCTGCGGGCATGCCCTGGGTATGTTTTTTGTCCCTGGTGAGCACAGCTCTCTCTGCTTCTTGAGCTGTTTGCCTCCTTCACACCTTTTCACCATGATGGCTTGTGGGTTGTTTTTTTTTTTTAATATATATTTTTTAGTTATTGATTGATCTTTATTTATTTACATGTGGTGCTGAGAATCGAACCCAGTGCCTCACACATGCTAGGCAAGTGCTCTACCACTGAACCTCGAACCCAGCCCTTGTCATGATGTTTTGCCTCACTGTGGGCCCAGAGTAATTGAGCCTGTGTTCTATGAACTTCGACCTCCGAAACTGTGAGTCCCAAATCAACTTTTCATCCTCTAAACTTGTTCTTGTCAGGTCTTTTAGTCACAGGGTAAAAAAGCTGACTAAAACAGGTAGAAATCAATTTCCCTCCAGGAAGACCTCCAAGCTAAAGAGTGGAGACTTGGGGGGGTGTTGGTTTTCTAGTTCCCTTCCTTACTGTCTCTTAACTTCACAGCAAAAGCTTTGTCATCTGAGTCAAAGGGGTAGGATGTTTTTTCCAAGAACAGAACAAACACAGGATTGCTTCAGAGTTTTAATTCTCAGTCCTTCAGTTTCTCCCTAACCCAGGCAGTAATTGCACCACACAGAAACTAGGTTGTCACAATAACTGAGGACTTTTCTCACCTGTACAGCCAAGAGCATCTGGTAAAAATAGAGTTTGCAGGTAGCTTCTTTCAGCCGTTTATTCCCCACCACCCTGTCAAAGAGCTCTCCTCCTTCCATCCTGAAACACAGACAAAGGAAGGTGTTCATTCCTAGAGGAAAACTCACTTGCATGGTATAAAAGACAGAGCAAACTCATTCAGATTAGCACAGAGTTGCCATTTTTATTCACCTTTGACTCACATTATTAGAGCTAATGAGCTAATAAGGTTCATCTACAATCTGATGTCCCCACCAGAAATAAGGAATATGAGAGAAGGAACGTGCAGTGGGAATTGGCAATACTTGGGAAACTTTAAGATCTGATTCACTACCAAGGTGGGCCCAGGAGCCTGCACGTTTATCACGTACCCTGCGTGATTCGGAGGTGATGAGGAAGAGCAAGCCAGAACTTACAATCAAGTCAACTCGGGTCTAAACCCCAACTCCACTACTTCCTAGCTGTGGGACTTTGGGCTATTTAATCTCTCTAAGCTTAAAAAGTGGGAGTAACACCACCTGCTGTGATGGTTGGTATAAAATAATAGAAATGATTGACATAGGTAAGGCACCTGGCACAGGGCTCAGCAATATTATTCAAATTCTCTGATTCAGTTTCCTTTTCTTTAAAGTGGGTCTAAATATAGAAACCCACCTGTGACATGTAAGTAACCTGTAAGATTATTATGAGGGACCAATGAGTCAGTCCACAGAAAGTGCTAACTTAGCTTGCAGGAAAGGGCTTAATAAATACCAGCTACTATACTGTACTATTATGACTATTATTCACTATGTCAACCAGATCCAGTCAGATAACAATCTCCTATTTGGTAACAGCAAATATTCCCTGAGGAACCCTAGGACATTCATCTCTCCCAGGGTTATAATCAGGATTGCTGTTTATTTTATTTTATTTTATTTTTTGCAGCACTGGGCATTGAACCCAAGAGCACTCTACCACAGAGCTACCACCCCAGTCGGTTTCGTTTTTTTATTTTGAGTCAGGGTCTTGCTAAGTTGCTCTTGCCACTCAATCTGCATAGCCTCCATTTTTCAGCCAAGAACAAAGCATTCCATGCCTGTCACAACAGCTGCTTCAAAAATGTGAATTTAGGCAGGAATAGACATAAGACAGGCCTCTTCCAGGAATGACACAGGAAATTATTTTGGCTATACCAAAGAAGATAGGACATTCTAACCATGAAGTAAAGCAGCAAGACACTGAAAGATACTTGGGTACCACCATGCCACCAGATCCCATCATCTTAAGTAGAAAGGACCACCGAAAGCAGATATTTTTAAAGTAATAACATCAACACACATGGAAGCTGGGCACAGTGGCACACACTTGTAATTGCAGCATCTCAGGAGGCTGAAGCAGGAGGATCACAAGTTGGAGGCCAGCCTCAGCAATTAGGCAAGGCCCTCACTAACTCAGTGAGAACCTGTCTCAAAATGAAAAATAAAAATGGCTGGGGCTGGGCTCAGTAGTGCATCCCTATAATTCCAGCAGCTCAGGAGGCTAAGGCAGGAAGATCATAAGTTCAAGGCTAGCCTCGGCAACAGCAAGGTGCTAAGCAACTCAGTGAGAACCTGTCTCTAAATAAAAGGGCTAGGAGTGTGGCTCAGTGGTTGAGTGCCTCTGAGTTTAATCCTTGGTTCCCACCCTCCCCCCAAAAAGAGGGGCTGGGAATGCAGCTCAATGCTCTGGGTTCAATCCACAGTACCAAAAAACAGGGACCCCATGTCAAGCGCCCACATGTGCCAGGTACTCTGCAAGGCTTTCCATCCCTCATAGCATATAAACTTCTCCAAGACTCTGTACTATTATCTGCATTTAACACTAAGAAGATGAAACTCAGAGGGATGAAAGAAACTCATCCATGGGTGGTCAACTAGTCACCTGCAGAGTAGTGTTTAAACCCAGGACTCAGATGCAGGGACTAGAATCCCCTGCTACCTGCCTGTGGAAATACTGCCCGACTTCTAGAATTAACACTACCTAGACGTGCAAACACACTGTGGATCCCACCACCACATACTTAAGGGAGGGCCCCAGCATGAACAAGGAAAGTCTACATTCAAGTCTATGTTGGCTTTTAAGCATTTAAATGAAAATGTCAAGTTTAAAACATGTACTACTTACAATTCCAAAACAATGTAATAATCTTCTGCATCAAAAAAGTTTTTAATCTTGATGATGCAAGGCTGAAAAAAAAAAAAAGAGAGAGGAAAGAATGAAAACAAGTGAGAAACTCCCAAGAAGGAAACCATGAAAGCCACAGAATTTGAGACATCTGCCCAGGGAGTCGGGAAGCCCAGGCCCAGGCTTTGGGCCCGCTGACTCTGGTAGCTTTGAAGTCGGGGGTGGGGGTGTGGAATCGGACAGACTGACTCCTCCGTGAGAAATTGGAAGAAACAGCCCACACCCTGCCATGACAGTGAGGAGCGGATTCATATTTCACATGAGGATGTCCTACCGAGGAACAAAGGCCAGTCTCTTCCCAGCCTTCCTCCTCCAGCCCTAAAACAGAGGCATTGAAGGAACCGGGTGACGCTCTGAAGAGCAATATGAATGAAAAAGCAGGCCAGGTGCAGAGCCAGGCCACGCTGCTAGACAGAGATCACCCAGCTCCAGTTCTAGAACCAAAGGGAATGGGACCCCATGTGACAAGAGCCTCCCATTGTGCCAAGGAAAAGAGGAAAATTCTAGTTTCATAATAATTTTATAAGTTAAATTATTTTTCCATTATATTCTAGTTGTAGATGGACACAATACCTTTATTTTATTTATTTATTTTTATGGGGTGCTGAGGATGGAACCCAGGGCCTCACACGTGCCAGGCAAGCGTTCCACCACTGAGCCACAATCGCAGCCCCGTTATTTCCTAAGAACTTTAAGCACACTTGGAGGTAGGGGATAGAGACACAGTGGATGAGAGTTGTGACCTCTGACCACGGCAGAGAGCACAGAACACTGAGGGTAAGGGAGCAGTATTGTACGTTTTTAAAGTCCATATTTAATATTATGACTTCATACTTAGCAGAGCTATTTTTTCACAGTTCATAGCCAACTTCAGGTGGCTGTCAACACATGCCTGTATTCCCAGCTAATGGGGAGGTGGAGGTGGTAATCCTGAGCCAAGTTAGAAACAAACCAGTTCCCCACTCCTGGCCTATGATCACTGTACACTACTTGACTCTACATGAGCAATTTTATTACACAATAATGAAAACACTCAGGGCTGGGGTTGTGGCTCAGTGGTAGAGCACTTGCCTCACATGTGTGAAGCACTGGCTTCAGTTCTCGGCACCACATAAACAAACCAATAAAATAAAGGTCTATCAACAACAACAACAAAATTTTTTTTAAATAAAACACTGACTACTCCTTGTAAGAAAAGAAAGAACAGCTAAAATCTTCATATCCCATAACAGGAAGCCAACAGGCTATTTAAAGTGGATAAACCAAGAGACAATGGTTTATACATATTATGTAGAAACATGGAGGCAAATTCTAAAAAGCCAAGAAAGAGTTTTTAAATATTTATAGAGAGGAGGATTAGGAGGAATGAGAAGTTGCTGGTTTGTGCAAAATTATTAATACTATTTGACTCTTTAGATTATGAACTTGTGATGTCTTGGCCAAATTATTTTTTAAAGGAGAAGCAGAAGAAAACTCATAAATGGAAAAGATGACTAGATTAGAAGGGAAAATGGGAACTGCTTGGTTCCTCTTGGCATCAAAATGTGCAGTGCAGGGGGCTAGGGTTGTAGCTCAGTGGTGAAGTGCTTGCCTGGCACGTATGAGGCCCTGGGTTTAATCCTCAGCACCCCATAATCATGAATAAAAAAGTAAATAAAATAAAGGTATTTTGTGCCCATCTACAACTAAATAAATAAATAAACAGCGGGCAGGAAATGCTCCAGGAAACTGCTAAGAAATATATCAGGGACCTAATCATTTGGGAATGGATGGGGCCAAGAGCTGACTGAATGTAAAGAGGTCCCCAAAAATCAAAGCCATGAACTGTCTCTAGTCTTTCCTACCCAAGGTCACTGGCTAGGGCTGTCACAGTGTCTCCCTAACAGGAACCAGAGACTATTAACCCAGACTTTCCACTTAGGTCACACGGGGAAAAGAGCTCAAGGAATCCAGCTCGCGACCACGATCTCAGCCTGTTCTCTGTGCTGAAAGCTTTAGGAGCAGATCCACAGAAGTCTCACGCTGACCTTGTGAGGTAAGAATCCTTATTGTCTCCATTACACAGAGGAGCAAACAGTGGCTCTGAAAAGTGGATGACCTTCTCAAAGCTAAGAGGCGGTACAAATGAGCTGGGAGCTCAGGTCTGTCTGCACACTAGACGGAAGACACGGGGGAAGGGGTGAACCGCTCCATCTCAGCTCAACACTGCCTGGGCCTAGAAGATAGTCTTGGCCCACTAAGTGTTTGACAATTGACCAAATCGGTGTTGGACAACTAAGGCCAGGTTCTTGGGCTATGGAGACATTGTCCTCAAACACCCAAATGTTAGCCATGGATCCATGTTAAATTCCCAAGGTTCCAAATGCTCCAGGAAACTACTAAGAAATATGACAGGGACCTAACTAACTGTTAGTGTTCTAAACAGCACTGGACACTGGATTTGTATATACGTTATGTTTGAGGATCATCTGACATCAGAGAAACTCCTCTGAGAATTCTTAGTGTTTATTTTAAGGGAATGTTTGATGCAATTCTACCCCTAGAAAACTAGATGGCTCTGCTCTTCCCCTATCGCCCCCCGCAGGACTGGGGATTGAACCCGTAGGTACCTTAACACTGAGCTACATCCCCCACCTTTTCTATTCTTGATTTGAGATAGGGTCTCACTGAGTTGCCAAGGGTGGTCTTTTTTTTTTTTAACCTTTATTTGTTTATTTTTATGTGGTGCTGAGCAGCAAACCCAGTGCCTCACACATGCTAAGCAAGTGCTCTACCACTGAGCCACAGCCCCAGTCCCCCAAGGGTGGTCTTGAACTTGCCATCCTCCTGCCTCAGCCTCCCAAGTCACTGGAATTACAAGAGTCACTGAGACTTTAAACATACCCCACATGCCTTAAAGAGAGCTCTGCTCTTTAAAGAGGCTTCCAAGCTCTTGGAAAAAAAGACCTGGCAAGCTGGGGTACAACACTATAGTCCCAGCTACTTAGGAGGCCAAGGCAGGAGGATCACTTGAGCCCCGGAGTCAAAGGCCAGAGAGACCCCATGCCCTCCACTCGCCACCAAAAGACAAAATTCAAAGAGTACACGGAAGAAGTTACAAAGAAATTATTAAAAGATGGGGCTGAGGTTGGTGGCTAAGTGGTAGAGCACTTGCTCAACACATGTGAGGCACTAGGTTGGATCCTCAGCGCCACATAAAAATAAGAAAGTAAAATAAAGGTATCATGTCCATCTGTAATAACAACAACAACAACAAATCAAAATGTTTAAAAACAATTATTAAAAGAAAGCCAAGCAGGAAGATCAGTCCCTCAGATTCCCACGGGCTACCAGCTCCTTGCACAGGATTCTCAAGGAGCCTGTGGAAGTATTTTGTCAAGGTAATGATTGTATTCTTGTTCTTGGTTTCTCCCTGTTCTTTGAGGAATTTGGGGAGGTATAAGAAAAGAAATTTTGTTGTTGTTTAGAGAATAAAAACCAGAATAAGATAATCATAGTCAAACAGTAGACAGACTACAGGATTTGTTTCAAGTGCAGGGACTACTGAGCTTATGACATGGCTGCTCATGAATAAATGAGGAAACTGAAAGAACCAATAAACAGAAAAGCAGGATCAGACCACATTCTAATTTTTCTTGTCACCTTTTTCAAGTGACACACCTTCCGATGACACTGAGTCAAAGTCTTCATCGAGACAATGTCATTGTACAAAAGAGGGAACTATTTATACCCAAAGAGGCCACTGACACACCACTTTTACCAGATATAAGGATAGGATGTTGTCATTATTTGATTTATCTGGGTCACTCCAAATAAAATGTATTTTAAGGTGTTAAAACTTCAGGTATAACCAGGCACAGTGGCACACACCTATAATCCCAGCTACTCAGGAGGCTAAGGAAACAGGATCACAAGTTCAAGGCCAGCCTGGGAAACTTGGGAAGAGCTTCTCTCAAAATAAAGAATAAAAAGGGCTGAGGATTGGGCCGGGGATATGGCTCAGTGGGCAGAGAGCTTGCCTAGCATGCAAGAGGCACTAAATTCGATCCCCGGCAGGCACCATATAAAAATAAACAAATAAAATAAAGATATTGTGTCCATCTATAACTAAACAAAAACAAAAACAAAAAAACAACAACAACAACAAAAAAAACCAGCCGGGGATGGAGCTCAATGGCACAATGCTTGCCAAGCATGTGTAAAACTCTGGGTTCAGCTGGGCATGGTGGTGCACGCCTGTAATTCTGGCAGCTCTGGAACTGAGGATCGTGAGTTCACACCAGTCTCAGCAACGGTGAGGGGCTAAGCAACTCAGTGAGACCCTGTCTCTAAATAAAATACAAAATAGGGCTGGGGATGGGGCTCAGGGGTTGAGTGCTACTGGGTTCAATCCCTGGTAACCTAAAATAAATGAAATAAAATAAAGCCATGGGTTCAATCCCCACTACCACCCAAATAAATAAATATTTTAAAAATTCAGGTACTATTAAATTTACTAAAATTAGCATTGTCTTTGCAAACATAATCAGTTGATCAATTCTCCATAAGATAGAATAATTTTATTTTATTTCTCTACAAGAATAACTCAGGGGGCTGGGGCTGTAGCTCAATGGTAAAGCTCCTGCTTTGCATGTGTGAGGCACTGGGTTCGATCCTCAGTACCACACAGAAATAAATAAGGATACTGTGTGTTCATCTACAACTAAAAAAATGGAAAAAAAAAATAATAACTCAGGCTAGGCAGGGTGGCACACATATGCAGTTCAGCACTCATGAGGCTAAGGCAGGAGGAAGGTTTGAGCCCAGGAGTTCAAGAGACCAGTGTGGGCAACATAGCAAGAGCCCATCTTAACAAAAAAAAAAAAAAAAGAAGAAGAAGAAGAAGAAGACCTCAGTAGAAATGTCATCAGGCAATTATTTAATCATAAAACCTTTATGCAATATTGCCCTCAAAATTTTGGAATTAAACTCTTCCAAGCTAAACGAGAGCTAGGTGTTTGAGCATCCATGCATGTGCACATAGAAATTAAAGAACCCAGGTCAACACTAACTGCATCACGTTGAAATACTTTATATTCTTCCATATTTAGAGATAAATAAATTTAAATATGAGCCATGTCTTACAGCAATACTTACATGATTTAGTTTTTTCAAGATTTCTATTTCAGTTTCAACATTGAGAGCTGGATCCTTTAATAAACAGAAAAACATTAGAGTTTACTAATAATAACAATAATGGCCAATATTTTTAAAATGTTACAGTTATACTTAATTGACTGCCTGAGATCCAAACCAGGCTGTATTTAATGCAAAGAAACCCAGACCCAAAATACAATGAATTAAATAACTCAGCTAAAATCATTCTGCAAAGTGCTTCGCAAATTATAAGCAGTCAATAAATGCCCAGGCCCTGTGCTAAGCTCTTTATTCATTCAAATCATCTCACATAAGCCTCATAATCCTCAACTGAAGAGGATTCTATAATTACCCCCATTTTACAAATGGAGCAACTAGGGTTCAGAAAAGGGAAGACATGGGCCGGGGCTGTAGTTCAGTGGTAGAGCACTTGCCTCGCATGTGTGAGGCAGTGAGTTCGATCCTTAGCACCACATAAAAATAAAGATATTGTGGGTAATGTCTTCCCTTTATTTTTTATTAAAAAAAAAAAAGGAAGACATTACCCACAGTTCCACTGCCAGAGAAATGTGTTTCCATTGTTTGCATCTGTAACTAGTAGCCAGTAAGCTATACTTATCTCATTAACTAAGGAGTTATTTACATTTATAAAAATGATGACAGAGGGGCTGGGGTTGTGGTTCAGCGATAGAGTGCTTGCCTAGCACATGCAAGACACTGGGTTCAATCCTCAGCACCACGCAAAAATAAATAAATAAAATAAAGGTAGTGTGTCCAACTACAACTAAAAAATATTTTTTAAAAATGATGGGGGCTGGGGCTGGGGCTGTGACTCAGCGGTAGCGCATATGCTTGGCACGTGTGAGGCACTGGGTTTGATTCTCAGCACCATGTATAAATAAATAAAATAAAGGTCTATCAACAACTACAAAAAAAATTTTTTAAAAAAATGATGAAAGAGCTGGGTGTGGTGGCACACACCTGTAATCCTAGTGGCTCAGGAGGATCATGAGCACAAAGCCAGCCCCAGCAACTTAGTGAGCCTTAAGCAACCTAGGGAGACCCTGTCTCAAAATAAAAAGTAAAAATCGGGGCTGGGGATGTGACTCAGTAGTTAAGTGCCCCTGGGTTCAGCCCCTGATAAGAAAAAAAAAAGAAGAAAATAAAGAAAGAAAGAAATGAAGTCCATGAAGAAGCAGGTGTTTAATGAAACTGTATGAAAAAAACGTCAGGTAAAATTTCTGAGCAGACAAAAGTTCCAACTTCAACCGTAAGCTGACAGTGTTCACTGGAGAGAAGCCAGACAGCCCCAGCTACTCAGGAAGCTAAGGCAGGAAGACTGCTGAGCCCAGGAATTCAAGGCCAACCTGATCAACATGGTGAGACCTTGTCCCATCCCATCCCCCGCAAAATTAGAGAGCAAGTTGAGTTAAATAACTCCACTTCCCAGGTTACACCCTCCACAAGCAAAGAGGATATAAAGTGACATATTTATGTAGAATGGACTTCTGCTAAGAAACCCCAGATGTTTAATTTTTAAAGCCTGCCTCTTCCTGTAATCCATTACTCATTACCACACCAGGGTGTACATACTCTGAAAAGAGAGAGGTCACAAAGAGTCCAATTTGACTCAAAGAATGAAACTAAGAAGTAAAATTTTACTCTCAGTTCTAACAATCTGGTAGATATTTTCTTCTCTCCAAAATGGGAAGCAAATCTAGAATCACAAGGGAAAAGATCCATAACAAAGGGAACACAGAAAGGAAATTCCTCTTGCCATGCAAGAACAGCACTGTCTCGAGGGGAAGAAAAAGATCTTTAAAGAATGTTAAAATATAATACCCAGGGGCTGGGGATATAGCTCAGTTGGGTAAAGTCCTTGCCTCACATGTACAAGGCCCTAGGTTCAATCCCCAGCACTACAAATAATAATAATAAGACCACCCAGAAACAATTGGCCACAAAGAAAAATATTATTAGGGGTTGTTTATCTATCACTTTGTCCAGTCACATGTGGACAGATCAATCAATGTATTTGGCTACTTCACCTCTATAGTGAATGTGGACTACAGAAAATGTAATAAAATGAATAGCTACTAGGCTGGGGCTGGGGCTCAGTGGTAGAGCACTTGCCCAGCATGTGTGAGGTACTGGGTTCAATCCTCAGCACCATATAAAAAAGTAAATAAATAAAATAAAGTTATTTAGAAAAAAATTTTAAATGAATAGCTACTATGGAGAAATAATTTCAATATTTTAAAATTTAAAAATATGAAACTCAGAGCTGGGATATAGCTTCAGAGATAGAGCACTTAGCTAGCATGTGTGAGGCATTTGGTTCAATCCCCACCACATAAAAATAAATGAATTAAATAAAGGTATTGTGTTCATCTACAACTAAAATATATCTTTAAAAAAGAAAAGGAAAAAAAGGGCTGGGGATGTGGCTCAAGCGGTAGCGCACTTGCCTAGCAGGCGTGCGGCCCGGGTTCCATCCTCAGCACCACATACCAACAAAGATGTTGTGTCCGCCGAGAACTAGAAAATAAATATTAAAAAAAAAAAAAAATTCTCTCTCTTAAAAAAAAAAAAAAACTTAAAAAAAAAGGAAAAATAAATTTAAAACTAACCCATAAATAACAAGATAGTCATTGGCACATCACCCAAAAGAGCAAACAACTAGGAATTACCTAAATGACCAACCAGAGAAACGGCTGGGTAAATCATCATAAGTTGGGACAGCTCCTTCTTTGTGGATGACTTTGACAAAGTCTACAAATCTGTCCCCAGGATCATCCAGAGCATCTGACAGAGTTCTCCTCACAGTGTCCCAACTTCAAGTTAAAGGAGGCAAAGCACATCTGCACATCCCTTGCTGCTCTTCTGCTGACTCTGGACAACCCCAGTACCTTCTGGGTCACACGAGGTGGGAAAGGCGTGGGTAAAATACCAGCCTTGGGTAAACACGTGCACTGCTACAGCTCTTTGCCTCTTGGTTTTTTATACTCCAAAACTTGGAGTCAGAAAGAAGGTCACCAATTTGTAGAATGAGCCACAATGATACATTATTTTGAGGTTGCTGGGGATTTTACATTTTTGATTTCTGTTGTCAAAATCAGTGGTCAGAATGGAGTGCAGCACTCGTGACAGGCTCACACTGAGGTTTTCTGAGATTTTATTTTAATTTCTCATTAGAACCCTATAACCCTCAACAAGTTTCATTTGTGCTATGAACATAAGAGTTGCTTAATTAGGGCTGGGATTGTAGCGCAGTGGTAGAGTGCTTGCCTTGCACACACAAGGCCCTGGGTTCGATCCTCAGCACCTCATAACATAAATAAATAAAAATAAAGATATTGTGTCCATCTACAACTAAAAACAAATATTTAAAAAAAAAGAAGAGTAGCTTAACTAACCCTTTGAAAGGACTGCACGCCAAAAGTAAAAATCAGGATAGAAGTTGATGAAATCAGCCAGGAGCAATGGCACATGCCTATAATCCCAGCAACTTGGGAGGCTAAGACAGGAGGATTACAAGTGCAAAGACAGCCTCAGCAAGGGCGAGGCCCTGAGCAACTCAGTGACCCTGTCTCTAAATAAAATTCAAAATAGGGCTAGGGATGTGGCTCAGTGGTCGAGTGCCCCTGAGTTCAATCCCTGGCACCAAAAAAAAAAAAAAAGAAAGAAAAAGAAAGTTGATGAAATGAAGAGTCAGTTATCACAAGGGATGAATGTGCTAAGGGAAAAGTCTATGCTATCCTGCATCCTGCATTCATGAAAAGCAGAATACCCAGCTGTATACAACACAATTGAAACCACTGAGAAACATGAATTCATATGAGCCAAGAAAGAGGAGAAAGGAAAACTGAAAACAGCTATAAGACTGTAACAGTCACTCTCTAATTTCAAGTCTGGTAAAAACAATCTTGCAACAACTTTGAACTGGAATAAACAATCAAAAATTATTGGAACAAAATTATCTATAAGTAACAATTTCTAGATTAATCAAAAGATACTTAAATTTTTCAATGTTCTTTGACAGTCACAAATTACTGTCTGAGCAGTCAGTTGTTCTTGAGACTGAAAACAGTCATCTTACAACGATTTGGGGGATGTTATGAAGAAGCTATAAAAGCTGCAGCTGGGCACAAGGGCGCACGCCTATCATCCCAGCATCTCGGGAGGCTGAGGCAGGAGGATCGCAAATTCAAAGCCAGCCTCAGCAACTTAGCCAGACCCTGTGTCAATATAAAAGATAAAAAGGGCTGGGGATGTGGCTCAGCAGTCAAACACCCCTGGGTTCAATCCCAGTATCAAAAAAAGGAAAAAGCAGAGCTACCCAGCCAGAAATACAGGTACTTACTGCCTCTCTCGAAGAGCCAATAGCAAATTTCCTTTTGCTGATGATCTTTATGGCGACTTTCTTACATGTTTTCCTCTCAAAAGCCAGTTTTACCTCTCCACAAGCACCACTAAAAGGAAAAACAGAGTGATATGGGGGATGTTTTTAATCATGAGACCCACCGTGCCCATCTTCCTCTACCATTAGAAGTAAAGATAGTCTGTATAAACAACCCTTTTACTGTCCCTATTTTCAGAGGACACAGTGAAACCTCACCAAGGTGAAAGGTAAGTGGGGCATCCAACCACACTGAGTCAGCTCCAAATACCAGTTCTGAGCTGATACAGAATTAATCTTATTACAGCCCCAAATTATGAAATGATCAGAAAGACAATAAAAAAAAAATGAGAAATTTGTCTCAGAAGTCAGAGACATCCACTGCAAGAATCATCGCAGGTCAAAAAGGAACCCCCCCAAACAAGAAAACAGAATCTGTACATGAATTACTTTCGTTGGTACATTTCTCTGTCCTCACTCTCTGTCTTAAAAGGAAAGTGAGGGGCTGGGGAGCTGGCTCCATGGTAGAGCACTTGCCTGCCTAGCATGTGTTAAGACCCTGAGTTCCATCCCCAGCACCAGAAGCAAAAAAAAAAAAAAAAGAAAGAACAGTTGGGCATAGGTGGCACATGCCTGTAATCTCAGTAATGGAAGGCTGAGGCAGGAGGATCACAGTGTGAGGCTAGCCTCAGAATTAGTAAGACCCACAGTAACTTAGTGAGGTCTCAAAATAAAAAAGGACTGGTGATGTAGCTCAAAGATAAAGCCCTTGGGTATGGGGGTGGGTACACATAAACAGTTGATTTAGCAAGAACTGCTTTCTACCTCAAATCCAAAAGTATTGCACAATTAACCTGCTTGCTCTCCTACAGGATTTCAAATTAATTGGGATACTACTAACGAGGAAGGAATGCTTATCCAGGACGTCAGGCAACACACTCTTAATCCTAAGTAGGATCAGTTCTCCAAAGTCTGGCTCAGCCCAAGGTAACAGCTATCAAAGTATCAATCATCCATTATCTGCCTGAAGTGGATTATTAGACTACTATAACTACCGTTGGTTCTGAAGGAGTGAGGTGAGGGGTTTACCAAGACACTTTTTTGTTTTATTAAATGTACATGACAATTTACCAGTCATTTTATGTCTACAACTTGGTCACATGAAGTATATTCACAATGCTCTGTAACCACCACCATCTAGTTCCAGAACTTTCTCATCAGCCTAAATGAAAACCTGTTACACAATGAAGCAGTCACTCCGCATTCTCCCCGTCCCCAGCAACTACTAATCTGCTGTCTCCACTGATATGCCTATTCTGAATATCTCACAACGATGAAGTCATATCCTGTGTGGCCTTTATGTATGTATGTATGTATGTATGTTTGGGTGCTGGGGATTGAACTCAGGGCCTTGTGCTTGTGAGGCAAACACTCCACCAACTGAGCTATATCCACAGTCCCGTGTGTGGCCTTTTGTGTCTGGCTTCTTTCACTTAACATATGCTTTCAAGGTTCATCTAGGCTATAACATCTATCAGCATGTTATTCTTTTATTCTCTCTCTCTTTTTTTTTTTTTTGAGACTGGGTCTCACTATGGTACCCAGGCTAGTCTCAAACCCATAACTCAAGTGATCCTCCCAAGGAGCTAGGACACACACTCAGGCCACACACAGGCATAACATAGCATCGGGCTACTTCCTTCATTCTTTTTTCCTTTCTTTTCTTTTTTTTGGTACTAGACATCTAACTTAGGGGCACTTGACCACCGAGCCACATCCCCAGCCCTATATTGTATTTTATTTAGAGACAGGGTCTCACTGAGTTGCTTAGCACCTCTGTATTACTGAGGCTGACTTTGAACTCACGATCCTCCTGCCTCAGCCTTCCTCCCCAAGCTGCTAGGATTACAGGCATGCGCCACTGCCCCCAGCTTCATACCTTCTTATACCTGAATGATCTATGTAGAAGTACAACTTCTGGTTAACCAGCTATCTTTTGATAGACATCTATTTGGGGGTTTCTACCTTTTGTGAATAGTTCCTTAAACTCTAAGTATAAGCAACAAAAGAAAAATGAAAAAAATGAGAATTCATCACTGAGATAAAGCTCTTATAAACATTTGTGGACATGTTTTTGTTTGTACACCTGCCCACAGTGGCCTCAAACTTGGGATCCTCCGGCCTCGGCTTCTCAAGATGCTAGGAGACAGGCGTGCGCCACCGTGCCTGATCTCAAATTCAACTTCTAGTTCAGGAAATAGCAGTAGATTTAGGCCACACAAACCAAGCTCTTTGTGCTCCTTAATGGTTTATTTATTATTTTTTAATTGTTTTTCAGTGCCTGGAATAAAACCTTGGGCCTCGTTCATGCTAGCTAAGTGTCTCTCTCTGAACCACATTCACAGCCCTTTCCTCAGTAATTTTTAAGAGCTTAAAGGGTCTGAATCTGAAAATCTTGAGAACTTTGCCCAAGGTTACATTCAACAGTTGTATTACTTCATGTCCCAAGATGGTACAAATTCTGAACAGTGCAGAAATACAATGATTGTGGGTTTGGGGAAGGTGATAGAAATGTTCTATAACTGATTATGGTGACAGTTTCACAACTCTGTGAATATAGTAAAAACCACTAAATTGTACCCTTTATCATGCTGGGAATTGCACCTAGAGTCTCATGCTAAATTGTACAACCAATTTAAAAGAATGAATTGGGCCTGGGGATAGGGGCACGGTACTGGACTATGGTGCATCAAGGAGCCCAGGACTGCAAAAAAAAAAGAAGAAAAAAGGGGACAAATTACATGGTATATGAATTATAGTTCATTAAAAGCTGCTTTTAAAAAATTATCATCAAGCCTGGTGTGGTAGTGCATGCCTGTAATCCTAGTGACTCAGGAGGCTGAGGAAGGAGGATCACAAATTTGAGGCCAGCCTCAGCAACTTAGTGAGGCCCTAAGTAACTTAATGAGACCCTATCTCAAAATAAAAACCTTAAAGGTCTAGGGATGTAGTTCAGTGGTAAAGTACCCCTGAGTTCAATTCCCAGAACCAAAAAAATAAAGTTGTCAATAAAATTTGTAAGGAAAGAGTTCATTTCAATTGATCATCATCATATCAATCAATAATATACCTATCACAAATAGTTTCCCTACAACTATATTATGAACAGATTATGAAAGTCATAAAATCAGGAATGAAAAACTAATAACAAACGTATAGGAAAAAAGTGAACTTCAATTTATATAAGAAAAAAACTTTACCTTCCAAGAGTTTTTGACATGATGTACTCATCTCTTAATTCCTTAGGATAAACTGACTGATCATCTACAGTCAGATCCAAAAATACAAAAACTAAGGGGATAAAAAGGGCAGAAATGTGCTTATTAATTCATAACAACTAGAAAATTAATTAATTCTAAAATATAGCTATATGGAATAGTAGACAAATGTTTTTGATTATATTTAACACATAACCCTGAAGGAATTATTTAGCTAGGCAAAGGCATGTTATAAAACCCCTGAGAAATGATAATCAAATATCATCCTTCATTGGAAATACACAGCATTGAGCTCACAATAGTACAGGAAACGTATAACATAATGGCTGCCCACATTCATTGACCTCGGAATATTAATTAATTGCACTAATACAAAATACCCATGCAGCTTACCACAGGCCCAGAACAAAAAAGCAATTAATTTAAAAACAGGCCAGTACTGACCACACTCATATTATCCTCTCTCAGACATTTCTACCTTGACCTATCTGGTATTTTATGGTACAAACCATCTTGAACCTATTTGTAAAGTTAAATAGCATTGTCTAAACTAATCCCTTTTATTTCTACATTTTTAAGGCTGTATCTCAAAAAATAAAATCACTCATTTAGGGAGATTCGAATGGCAAATTAGAGGATGCATTCCTAGTTGCCCAAGATTCAAGCCGCAGGAGTACTGCTTCTCAAGTGCTTGGGATTAGACCCGGACTTTGTGCGTGTGCTAGACAAGCACTCTCACTGAGCTACATCCCCAGGCCTCACATTTTACTTTGCCTTAATATATAATTTATACTAGTTTGTACATAAGAAACACATAACACTACATTTCCACTTGTCCTATCCACACTTTGTAGTATTATCACCGTATATTTTAAAGCTACATGTTGAAATGTCCTCAATATAACATTTGCATTAAAAACAAATAAAACTGTTCATTTAATAATTCAACAATCCCATCAATGCCAAATGTGCATTCAGTTATGAGACACCTCATTTCTACAAAGCCACCAATAACAAATTTGTACCTGCCTATAATGTTGTGTTATTGTTTTTGGTTTGTTTGTTTGTTTTTTAATATTGTTAGTTATGGATGGACACATGCCTTTATTTGGTTTATTTAGTTTTTGATGTGGTGCTGGGGGTCAAACCCAGTGCCTCCTGCATGCTAGACAAGAGCTCTCCCACTGAGCCACAACCCCGGCCCCCTATAATGTTTTGAAAGAGTGAAATTGGTTAAGACCCTTGAGTTTCTGAGATTTCAGGTGAAGGGTTTGGCCCTCCCTACACCAACCTTAAACCCAGCCTCTGGCACAGACCCCAGTCACCTGAGTGATTTCAGGCTGAGGAAAAGACAGTGGGAGCTGACACTTCCCTGATGTCCACCCAGGGACGAATCCCCCTTTATGCCTGTGGCTATTTATGAACTTATATGTTCCAGTGGCATCTGAAACAGGGGAATTTGAGGGGTTCTAAGAATGCTTTTCTCCTCAAATGTCAAGGTCTGCTTCAGAGACTACAGTTTCCCACACAAACCAGGAAGGGAAATGCACCCAAGTTTAGCTGGGTTGAGTTTAAGGTTAAGATGGAGAAGTGAGGATTTTAACAGGGAAACAAATCCCTCAACCAAAGGAGGCAGCCTCTACTCAGAGCCTGCAGATCCCCAGGTTGCAGGTCTGTAGGCTCGCCGCAGCCAACTTTAAAAAAAAAAAAAAATCTAAACTTTCAAGTTATAAAAATTGGCAAACACCTAATAAAATGTCTGTAAGCCAAGAAATAATAATAAAACAAAATCAGAAGTAAAATACAAAACAAAAAAAGGAAGAAAGAAAACATCTGTTGGCTAAATGCAAGTTCACAGAGCACCTGTTTAGTCTACATTATCAGGGCCACGTTTGACCTACATGACATCTTTGTTCAAATTAGAAAAAAATGAATAGATCTGTTCTACAACAACCATAGTTAATAATGACATGCTATCTTCTTGAAAATCACTAAAATAGATTTTAAGTATTTTTATCACAAAAAAAAAATGTTAATAATGTGAGGTAATTGTGGGTGTCAATGTGAACTAAGTATATTCACATACTTTTTTTTTTTTTTTTAAGAACCAGAGCTTGAAGCCAGGGGTGCTCAACAACTAAGTCACAACCCTAGCCTTTTTGAATTTTTTTACTTTGAGACAGGTCTCACTAAGTTGCTGAGGCTGGCTTTGAATTTTAAATCCTCCTGCCTCAACCTCCTGAGCTGCTGCGATTATAGGCATGCATAAAAACTGTACATACATATGGAATACCATGTGATGTCTCAACATATATATACATCATGCTGTATACATATACTAAAACATCATATTGTATGTGGCAAATACATAGAGTTTTATGTCAAATAAAACAAACTAAAGTTTTTCTCATTATTTAAAAAAGAGAAAAAATTTAAAAAGGTGTCCCTTAGATGACTAGGCAAAAGGTGGCACACTGCCTGACCAGAAGAGACCCAATGTTGTCCCAACTGTTCCTTCTGCTAGGTGACCAAAAAAAGCAAAAACTGCCGTTACCCCAATTATAAGAATCAGACAGAACACAAAGTAGTCAGAAACAGGGAAAACTGTCAATCATAAAATGCAGCTTTGGAGACTAGGATAGCTCAGTGTGTGTTACAAGCACAAGGTCCCAGGATCAACTGCACACACCAAAAATAATTAGATGCACTTTATGATGCTTAATATAGTTACAGTTCCCAGATGTCAGTCTGAAGATGACTGCACAAGAATCACCTTTTTAAGGACTCCCCCCCCACACACACAGTACTAAGAATCAAACCCAGGAATGCTCTACTACAGAGCTACACTCCCAACCTTTCCTTAAATTTTGAGGCAGGGTCTCACTAAGCTGCCCAGACAGGCCTTAAACTTGTGATCCTCCTGCTTCAGTCTCTCCAAGTAGCTGGGATTACTGGCATATACAACCATGCCAGGCTTTGTTGTGATTTTTCAAAATATTTTTTTTAGTTGTAAATGGACAAAATACCTTTATTTTATTTATTTATTTTTATGCGGTGCTGAGGATCAAATCCAGTACCTCACAGGCGCTAGGCAAGTGCTCTACTACTGAGCCACAACCCCAGCTCCTGCTATGATTTTTCAAATATCTAGAACTACTGGATAAAAATCTGTAAGAGTGCTTATGTGAACCTCTATATTTAATATCTCTCTCTCTCTCTCTCTCTCTCTCTCTCTCTTTCTCTCTCTCTCACACACACACACAAATACACAAATTCATTCTCTCTCTCTCTCTCTCTCTCCAAGTCATTCTGCTCTCAGATGGTTTCTGGGAAGTTCTATGGTTTATTAATTAAAGATGAAAAGTTTTCCTGAACTAGGGCTGTGGCTCAGCGGTAGAGCTCTCACCTAGCATGTGTGAGGCCCTAGATTCGATCCACAGCACCACAAAAAAATAAAATAAAGATATTGTGTCCATCTATAACTAAAAAACAAATATTAAAAAAAAAGTTTTTCTCTTGCTCCAAGATTTGAAATCACTATGATTTTAATTCTTTTAATACTTTTAATTCTGCAGGTCAATTATCAATTTTTCTTATCAATCATTCTTTCCAGACTCTGCCCTAAGTGACAACTGTTTGTTTTAGATATGATATTCATGAAATTTCATAAGTGAATGTTTTTAAAATGTCTTATAAAATTTATAAAATGCTACCTGATAACAATCAACAGCTTCAGTTGCACAAGACCCCTATGTAGTATTTAAGAAGGTGGGCAGGGGGTGTAACATACTGGCAGAGTATTTGCATGGACCCTGGGTTTGATCTCCAGAATCACAAAAGAAAAAAAGAACAGAAAGCTGAGTGCTCTCAATTGAGCTCTTAGAGAAACACTCAGCCTAATGCCTGGCATGTAAAAGGAGCTCAAAGAGTGTATGCAGAAATGCATGAATGGAAGAAATGAAGAAAGGACCAGAGTAGTGGCTCAGCGGTAGAGCACTTGCCTAGTATGTGCGAGGCCCTGGGTTCCATCCTCAGCACCACATAAGAATAAATAAACAAAATAAAGGTATTTTAAAAAGGAAAGAATGAGGGAGGAAGAGAGAGAGGAAGCAAGGGAGGAGAGAGGGAAGGAGGATGAATTAATAGCCTCCAACAACAATAACACATATATCTAAAGCAGATATGGCATAACAATCAGATATGGCATAACAATCAATCAAAGAACTGTAATTTATTTTAACCAATAAGATAATTCAATTGACAACACATGGCTTTAAATAAAGCCAATCAAACCTAAGAAAATCTGTCTGGATAGGACTTTTTCATGATTTAAAAAGGCACCTAGGGCAATAGAATTAAATCTTGCATGCTAACTGAATTTTACTCACTTAAATGGTGCCCTATAAATTCACAAAGTTAATTTTCCTTTTACACAGGAGGGGAAAGAAAATCCAGTAAACATAGGATAATAATGTTACCTTTATTTCTACATAGTGAAAGAGCAATTTCAGAATTGTTACTCAAAGGACGGCGTTTTCCTTTCCCTACAAGTTCTGTGTTTACAAAGGTTCCATTCCCACTGTGATCCTCTAGGTAGGCGATGTAAGAGTTTTTAGGACCCATTTCCTAAAATAGAGAACATTTTATTTCGAAGTTTAACAGCCGGGATTTATAGTTGGAAGACATCCAAGAGCAAGGACCAGATTACCAGCTCTCCCAAGTATAGGGACATTTGTCACTTACCCTGAAAATCCGGAAGTGCTTCTTGCTATACGTCCGGTATTTATTTGTCGTTTTCAGCAGTGGTTCATCAAAACAATAGTCACAGCTTTTATCCCTCCCAAACCAGTAGCTGTCATTAACACACTCTGCAATACAAAAGCACATGCTGGAGCTGTTACATTGCAAGTATCAACACCTTTAAAAATTGCCCATAAAATCTACTTGTAGGAAAACAGCCTGAGGTGGTAATCTATAAATTTGATTATCAAAAGTTTATAAGATTAAAAATTCGAGGGGAAGAGCCAGAGGGTATAGCTCAGTAGCACAAGGCATACTTAGCATACTCAAAGCCCTGGGTCAATCCCCAGCAGGACTCCCCATCCCCCCAAAATAAAATAATTAAAAAACTCTGCATGGGTGGGGAACACAAAATTCTACGATTTAATAAGGAATGGCTAATCTATAACCATGAAGCAACATGCAGTCATTAAAACTTAGTAATTTTAATGACTTGGGAAAATACTATATGATAACTTCTGCTCATTCCCGTCCTAAGGCTTCCTACCACATTTAATATAAAAACTATGCTCTTCCTTATGGCCGGATTGATGCTCAGGGTCTGGCCTCACCTCCATTCCAGCCTCACCTTGGACACCTATTCCTTTGCTGGCTACACCCAGTCCCACTAGCCGGGAGAAATTTGTTCTGTGGCCTTTCCCTAACTACCCAAAAGGCTCATTCCCTATTGCTTTTTGTGTCTGGCCTCAAATATCATCTCTCATTCAGTTTTCTATATAAGCAGCCTCCCATTTCACCATCCACTTGTCAGGATAATGTACCCTGCTTTATTTCACTCTACATACAGGCCATAACTGGAAGTTATCCCACCTTCCCTTGAGAGAACGAACATAAAGCCTAGCGGGCAGCATGGGACTCTTGATAGGAGCAAGAGTCTAGGTGTGGTGCTGCCACCTGTAATCCCTGAGACTTGGAGGATTGCAAGTTCGAGGCAATTTACTGAGACCCTCAGCAATCTGATAAGATCCTCAGCAACTTAGCAAGTCCTGTCCCAAAGTAAAAAATAAAAGGATTAGGGATTGTGGAAAATTAACCCTGGGTTCAATCCCCAGTGGTTTAAAAAAAAAAAAAAATACAGCTCCACCACCTGGGACAATGAGGAAATTATCAGCAATTCGTATCACAAAGGACTAACTTCCCCAATAAAAGTATTGATTCTATAAATCAATAAAAAACAAACCTGGACAAAATGAGTAAAGGATATGAAGAAACAATTTATAAGGAAAAAAATACAAAGAGCACTAACATGAAAAGATGGCCAAGTTAACTCAATACAAGAAAATTTTGAAACTAAAAATATATTAAGTATCTATGTTTTATCTACTAGATTAATAAAAATCCAAAAGTCTCATGCTACAGTTTTAGCGAGCAGGTACTTCACACACTGACCATAGGAAGAACAAAATTTATACAAATTATATACAACTGTCTAGCGAGAATAATTTGGAAAGATCTATCAAAATTACACATGCAGCCACTTCACATCCACAAAAATGGCTATAATTAAAAAAAAAAAAAA